GAAACTTTTTGGCTGTAGAATACATTTTGTTTTATCTGACTGTCACTTGTTTTTACATTGTGGCGTCATTTTCGAAATTGGTTGTCTACATCACCAAGGATTTAACTCGTGAAAATTTTCGTAGTATCATTTTCTACGACTTTAAGTGCAATTTAACAGCTCAGCGGAGCTTCCCACGGCTTCAAACAGCCTTTGGCGATGAAGCACCATGCAAGACGACTATTTTGCTGGTTTGCAGAATTCAAACGCGGTCGTGTGAACCTCAGTGACGAATTTCGTGATGGTCGCCAGTCTATTGCTGTTAACAACAAAAACGTATACGCTGTGCGCCGTATTATCAAAACAGCCAGGCATATGACATACCATGAGATTCGGGTATCTATAGGCATAGGTACGAGTCAAATACAATTAATACTACACAAACATTTGGGTGTGAAAAAGCTATGCTCTCGGTGGATCCCACACAATTTGACTGAGGCTCAAAAAGCGGATCGCGTCACTTGATGCAATGCCATGCTTACCAGATTCAACGAAGGGGCATCAAATTTGATGTGGGACATAGTAACAGGTGACGAAACAAGGATTTATAGTTACGATTCCAAAAAAAAGCAGCAATCGAGCGTATGGGTATTTCGAGATGAGCCGAAACCAAACAAAGTGGCGCGCGTGCAAAGTGCCTCTAAGCAGTTAACTGCTTCTATTTTAATAAAACTGGACACGTGGCTACAGTTGCTTTGGAGAATCGTTGTACCGTGAATAGTGATTGGTACACGACCATTTGTTTGCCGAAAGGTATTGATTGATGAAATTCCGTAAAAATAACCGTAAACGCCGTATCATCTTGCACCACGATAATGCCAGTTCTCACACGGCCAGACAGACAAATGAATTTTTAAAGGTGAACAACGTTGACCTTATTAGTCATCCCGCGTACAGTCCCGACCTGGCACCTTGTGACTTTTATTTATTTCCAAAAATTAAGAACCAGTTACGCGGTCAACGATTATCATCACCTGAAGAGGGTGTCGAAAAGTATGAAAAATATTTTTCAGAGATTATCACGGAGGTGTGGCATAAATGTTTTCAAAATTGGTTCATTAGTTTGAAAAAGTGCATTGACGCTAACGGAGAATATTTTGAGAAACAATAAATTCATCGCTGACCAAACAATGGAAGGGTCTTAAGCCTCGATTACTATCAGAACTGCTGTCGCCAAAACCACACTATCATAATGTTAAACACTATGAAATCTTGACAATTATTGGTCGTAGTTTCTAATTTAAAGTGAAAGATGTAACAAATTCTGGACTATTAGTGTAATTTAAACTTTAGCCGGTTGGCATTGTATAAAAATTAGAAGTGGCGCGGCTGCCGCAACAGCAGCGAGCGCTTCCATCAGAGCGTCTACTTTGAAGGCTCCCTTAGCAGGTACTAAATAAATAATTATACTTTTCATTGACACAATTTTATTCTCGACTGTACATACTTATTAATCGAAACGGTTGGGTACATAATATTTCCATCACGGAAAACTGGGAGGGACTATGGGGGAATAAGCCTATCGTTGAAAGTTCAATATAGGTTCAATATTATTGCAAGTTATGATGCTTTGACATTGACATTTCATCCAATGTGCAGCCATCTAGCGGTAATAGCTGAAAGTCGACGAACGTACTAAAAGGTTCGGTGGCTCCTTTCTCTGCCGCACGGTTGACAAATGGAACTTCCTTCCGGCACATGTCTTCCCTCCCTCTTATGATATGGGGTCCTTCAAACGAGGCGTGAAGAGGCATATTGTAGGCAGGCAGGGTGGAGGTGGCTAGTGCAGTGAGGATTTCATCGCTGCACTAGGTTCCTTCGCGTTTGGATACCACTTTCCACTTAACATCAGGTGGAGTGGAGTCATTTGCCTGTCATGTATATGTATAAAAAAAAAAGAAAGAAAGAAAAAAGAACGACTAACGCGTATTAACGATCTCCAAAAAAGTCGACCATATTGCAGCGGCATAAGGTTTACTTTTATTTGTTATAACAAAAAATCTATTACGGTAAACAAAAAATGGAAAATTTATTAAAATCCGATATGAAACACCACAATGGATAAATATAACAGGCGCGACTATAATTTTTGGACTTCGAAGTAATTTTCGAAGTTTTGCGCGAGATAATTGACAGGCATTTGACACGACAACAACAAAAGCGAAAATGGTGGACTTAGCTTAAGTATGTGGAACTTCGCATACTGTTGGCGCACGTGTCACGCCCAGTAAACTCTTCTAGAAGTACTTCGATTTTTTTGCCAATTTCTATCGTAGGTTTTTAAAGTTTTAATTTAATACATTTTTTGTAATATTATGTGTGCTTGATGGTAAGCTACATTCTTCTCTCAGAGCTTTAAATCCCAAAGGATCTGTGGGGCACGTCAGTCGTCTGAGACATAAGTTAATAAGCCCCACTTGCTTGTAATTTCACCGTAACCCTTTAAAACTAGAAAGCAGTCATGCTCATATGACTGGACGAATTCTTTCACAGGGAGCTCTACTGCTACTAAAATAAAAATGATGTTACCTAGTTTGTCACACATGGACTTTGACGACTGATGAGATAATGTTAATATACTCATGGACATGTTTAGAGGAACGCTAAAAAGGTTGAATTAGGTTCAACTAACGCTGGCGCAGAGTCGAAGCGTCGCGTCGCGTCTTGTTTTTCAGCTACAACGCCTGGGGACGCGCGTCGACGCTCGCATTAGTGCGCCCGGATCACAGTGTGGTCGGCGTTTGACGCCTCACTGCGCTCGACACTTGACTCCATATTTGCATAACACATGTACCTTAGTATTGGGAAAATAGAGATGAATATGCTATAGCCGAAAAACATGACGCGTCGTGAAATCAAAAGACGATTGAAGTCCTTAGAATAATAACGCATAGAAACCTAGTCCGCACACGCTAAGTGAGGCAAATTGAAGCGCTCCCAAAGGGCCTACACGAGCAGGCGGGCCTTCAGTGCTCAAGGTCAACTTGCACCGCGAACAGATCAAGAATTTTAGCTAAAAATGACGAAATGTGCGGTAAATGAGTGTAAAAATACGTCAGACAGCATAAAATAGATACTAACATCACATTCCACAAGGAAGTAACGCGTTTCAACTTGTATTTTTATATAAATATTCACTAAAACCGAAAATTAACCTACTACTAAAACTCGCTACATGAATTTGATTTTTGCCTCACTTGTGACAGTTCATTTGATATGAAACTATCATTCTATGCGTTATTATTCCAAGTTGAAGTCATTCTTTTTTCAAAGAAAATTTTTCTTTTCTCGTGTGTCGCCTTGTTATTAAAAATTTTTTAACATTTCAATTGTAATGATATATTCTTACGTTGGTTCGCTCCATCATCAATCTCATCAAAATTGTCGAAGAGAGAGGACGTGCTTATTTATCATGTAAAACTCAAACTGCACTAAAACTGTTTGTAAAGCATTAGATATAATTATATACACATATAGGCCCTCTTGGGGTAACCTGGACTTTCGACTGTTTAGTGCTAGTAGGGAGTATTTTATATTGTTTATACCTTTTTTTATATAATTGTATAATTTTGTTATAGCTTTTCTTTTCGTCTTCTAATATATTTTGTGGACAGAGCCTCCTCTTTTACTCCAAGGCTACGCTACAATTGTTATCATAATTCAACCTTCTTTTCCGCTACCCCAAATATGTCCATGAGTGTACATCAATGATTACGTACTTCATTAATACGCCTCATTTGAAAGTTAATTAAAATTTCCACTTATTAATAAACGCCACTCGGCACTTGAGCTATATCTCAAGATCGTTATTAAGTGCTAATCAATCAAGTGTATGGGCTTGGTAGCTTCAGTTGAGATGGTAATCGAAAATGCTTCTAATTATAGCCTATTAAGAGATGCATCTTGAGATCGGATGACATTTTAGCTGATAATGTACTTTATAGCAAACTGTTGTATAGTTAAATCCACTTGTTCCCACCAGTGGGGACAGCTGGTAGGTACTAGTGTAATAGACCCCTTATTCCAAGGTGATAATGGTATTTGAAATTTGATGAGTCGAATAAAAGTCGTCATTTAGTTGAATAGATTTAGTTGGTCCACCCTTTGAATTTATGTGTTTTATTGGACTAACTCTTAAAATTTTGCGACTCGAACCGACTAATTCACGTTTTCTGGGTGCAATCAGCTTCTAGTTAGCTGTGATTATCGACGTTGACAAATTATGCCTCTGGAATAATATAAATAATAGGCGCCGCGCAGATGTGACTTGTGTTGGATACAAGCAACCGGCAAATACAAGCGAATATTCTTATTTTCATACAACTTGCGGTTGCCGCAACTGGCGACAGAGTCTGACTGCCGCGACTGTGTCGATTTCATTATCAACTGTATGAAAATTAGTTGCCGGTTGCCTGTGTCCAACACAAGACACACGTTTGCGCCTCGCCTCATTCCTGCGTGGACAGTAGATAATTAAGTATAACTTTTGAACGGCCGACCGACTAAAACTAGTTTTATCAGACTAAAACCGACTTTTTACTATAAGTTAATGGCTGTTATTGACGCCAATGACAAATGTACAGTAGTTTCTTCGTTAACTATCTGAATTTGCATGTCAAGAATAATACTATCCTTGATAACGTACTGTTTTCCTTGATTTGTCTTTCACCGTCTTCAAATCTTCTAAGTATGATACTACGTGAGTGCGTTCGTAAAGAAAATCATACGTACTACACAGATGACAGTTTAACGATGAAAGTAATGTCAAAATTCGTTACGCTACCTGTTATTTTGACGTTGCGGAGTAAGGTATCTACAAATACTTATGTCAAATCACTATCTTCGATCGTTGCTTCGTATTTCGTGGTAGGCATTCATACCGAAGGGTCACATTTTTGTAAATACAAACTTTCATTCATTTAATTATTTACTAAAAAATTGTACCTCACGTCGTTTACATACCATTTATGTTATTAAAAAAAATACAAATCATACAGTTTGACATTGTTTCAATTTATGTGTATATAAAAACAAATTCGGATCGCTAGAGATTTTCAAATTATATAGCATTAATACAACGCCATGTAATTACTAATATAAATGTATCGTCGAGTAGTTCTCTTTCTAGAAGCAGCTACGGTATCAAACACCCATTTAGAATTGACTTCGTTATGACCAGCTACAGTCAAGTCGAAATCCGCCGATAGCTAGTCGTCTTGCGATCGTTGGGTAAGCCAGCCATTTTGCGTGAGGCCGCCATTTCATGGAACACCGCCATTTTCATCAAGGACAGCAACATCGCACAGATTAAGCAGATGAATAACAGCGCCAGTTTTCGACGTACCTTTTCTTTTCACACGTGCTTTCTGCGAAAGAAAAATATCGTATCTATTATTGTTTTGGGTAATACGGTCAGTGTACAGGGTTATTCTATATCTGTATAATAAAATTAATAAAACTTTAAACATATATCCGTTAGCTGCTCGTGAAGCTAAACTTAAAACTAAGAACTGGTTATTAACCTTAGATTACCATAAAACTGAAGCCTTATTGTAACAACTGAGAAAAAATAAAGTATTTGCAGGTAATAACAATGCAATAGACTCTATACTACTAACGCGCGAATGTATATTGTCACACACAAACGCAGGCACACACACACCTACACCCGCGCACATGCACATTCACACACACTCACACACACACACACACTTAGTAAAACATATAATATGTAATTTATTTAATAATGTACCTATTAAAATTGTTAAGAAATAGGTAATGTAAGGTCAAATGTTTGAGAGAGGACACTGACTCCTGTAACACAGGTTATACCTAGCTCAGGTGTCAGGGACTTCACTATTGTGTTGTAACTATTTTGTAACAATAAATATTATTATATTATTATTATTATTTTTAAAATATTAACAACCTCGCAGGACTACATTACTAACATCATAAACCACAACTTTTGTTCCATGCCTTTGATAATTCAAGAGGTTTAACTTTTATAAAAAAATAATTACATTGAAATATATTGTTTTAAACGGTAATAGCTTTTTAGTAGCAGTATAGCTCCTTGTGAGAGAGTTCGTCCAGAGTAGTACTGCCACCTTACCTGTTTCTGCCGCCAAGCAGTATTGTGAGCATTACTGCGTTCCGATTTTGAAGGGTAAGGGTGCTGATGAAATTACAGGCACAATATGGGACTTGTCAACTTATGTCTCAGGGGACGGGCGCCGTGGCAGTGCCCCACAGATCTTTGCGATTTAAAGTTCTGGGTGATACTACAACTGTTATGGATATGCGTGTAGCTTACCATCAAGCGAATGACTTGTTCGTACCGTCACTGATACTGTATTAAAAAAATCTCTCGGGCGTGGGGTCGTCGCGGAGGACGCTTGCACGTTTGAACTTATTCTATCAAAATACAGATTCAAAAAGTGTCAATAGTATAATAAAAACTTTAAAAGTTTATTTTTGATATATTTATAATGTGTCGTCAAAAGTCGTGTAACAACAGTTGTTGTTTATGATGTTAGTAATATATTCCAGCTAGGTTGTTAATATTTTAAAATAACCCTGTAATGTAATGGCTGCCTAGATCCCGTCATACGTCAGAATTATTCTCAAAAATACTGGAATGTCTGCGGCGTATGGAGAGCAGTAAGGCACATTTTGTAGCAGTAGAGCTCTTGTGAAAGTGTTCGTCCAGGGTAGTACTGCCACCTTACCTATTGCTGCCGTCAAAGCAGTAATGTCATGTCAGCACTACTGTGTTCCGGCTTTGAAGGGTAGCAATTACAGGCACATGGGACTTGTCAACTTATGTCTCAGGGTGACGGGCGCAGTGGCAGTGCTCCTCAAATCTTTGTGATTTAACGTTCTGAGTGGCATTGCAACTGTTATAGACAGGCGTGTAGCTTAACCTCAGGCGCACGACTTGTTCGTCCCGTCGCTTGATATAACAAAAAAAAAACATTAATCTTTAAATTTCGTACTTTAGTGAAGGTCTATTAGCTAAGAGAAGGCTTACAAAAGTCCCTTAGGCGCGTCTCCATTATGTTGTGACGACAGATAGTCGTGCAGTTTAAAGTGTATATTGTATACATATTTGAATGAAGTTGTTCACACATAGAACAACACGGTAATGACTTCTTTGACGTTACGACAGACTGTCAAGACAAAGGGAGCTAGAATTACAGTTGTCCGACGATAAATAAAACGTCACGACAAAAATTTGACAACAGATAATCGCAGCTATAAACGATTCGCTGCCGTGTCGTCGCAAATGACAAGGCGGCTGAGGGGACCGATAAAGTGTCGACACGATCTAGTGGATATAGTTAGACACGACAGTCATTCAACGACGAATTGGAGTTATTAATTAGGTCTCCAAAAAAGAAGCGACCATATTCCAGGGGTATAAGCTTTACTTTCGTTTCTTGTAACAAATAAATGAATTCGATGAATAGAAAATTTATTAAAATAGCCATTGACCTACCAACAAATGATATGAAATATTACTGCGGGTAACATTTATGGTGCGGCTATTATTTTTGAACTCCACAATTGTACAATAAGCGCCCAGTTATACGACGCGAAAATTTTCCATTTGTCGCCAGTAGAAATCACCACTCAAGGCAACATATGGGATCTTTTTTCCCATTTGTCGCCAATGGGAACAAAGCCAGTGGTGACAACTGGGAATAAGCGATAGAGGCATAAGCCACATGGTTTTTTTTCCGTGAATACCACTAATACTTAATTTGACGTTACCTGTATTAATTAAATTTTTATTGAATTGATATTCAATTATTTTTGTGAAAACACTCCACTAGTTTGTTATAATTATTAATACAAAGATCGAACACTCAGAAAAAATTCCTTCGATCCGGTCGGATTCGAACCGACGTTTTCTTGCATACCGTGCCAGACGCTATACCAACTAAGCCACGGAACGAACCAACGGACCTTACGAATTTCTCTATGTGCTTGCGTCGTGTTTTTGTACTTGGTCTTTCAACGACTTTTTAGTCGTAGCGCCATCTATGAGAAATCTATTACAGAGTTATCACCCAGTTAGTACCTTTACAGCTACCAGTCCTGGCGAGAGATGTCGCTATTCACTGTGTTAATTAAATTTTTATTGAATTGATATTCAATTATTTTTGTGAAATTACTCCACTAGTTTGTTATAATTATTAATACAAAGATCGAACACTCAGAAAAAATTCCTTCGATCCGAAGACGTCGGTTCGAATCCGACCGGATCGAAGGAATTTTTTCTGAGTGTTTTTTCTGAGTGTTCGATCTTTGTATTAATAGTTACCTGTATTATTAGTGGTTGTGATCTGCCTCAACGATATTGGCTCCGCATTTTTGATTGAGCCGAGGAATATTCTCTTGTGGTTAGTTTGACTTCCTTTTTAGTATCTATATAGTTAATTAAAGTGAATAAATAAATATTCATTTCTGATTTGTAAATCCCAATTCTTTGTATATTAGTACCTATAGACGAAACCGAGTTGATCTTTATGTACATTTATGATCTTCTATTTTAATATTAGTTTTTATTGAATAAACTTTCTTTGATCTTCTTATTTTATTAATAATTAACAGGTCCAAAATTATAACTGTGCTAGCTACCAGATCTGCCAGAATGTCAAATCCTTTTCCTACGTTCAGGCACGTCTTAGTGCAAGCAAGCAAAAGTAACGATCATACACTATAAACCTAAACCCCAAATTTGAGTATTTTTTTAGGTGGAATATTTTATCTATCTCAGGTACTATAAGGACAATAGATTTATTATAACTTTAAGTGAGTATATATATTTATTATTTTGTGATATCTTTTGGAGCTACTCGAGACGCGTCAGACAAATACTATGATGAAAATGTAGCGAGTTTCAAAAAGGTAGGGTCTGAAAAACAGCTTAAGCTGAGACTCTATCCTTTTTATCAACACAGTATCTATAAGTGATGTTATTTACGACTAAATTGTTTTGTAAAGGTAGATAAATAAAGTTCTTTATTATTATTATAAATTAGCAAGATGCACGTACGTAATAAGTATAAAAAAGTTTCTTAACCAAAATATAAGGAGTCATCTACCAACCAATGACTCAATTATTTCTATCTTATATCACCTGCCTTTCACCTGCGTCATGGTGAAGTAACTCTTGGCCTATGTTAGTACTTAATAATAATTAACAATGATTTCGTCCTTTGAGTGTCCACATCAAAGAACAATCAAATTTCTTAGATATCATTATCAAGATGCTGTTACTGCTGCCCCACATTCTGTCTTATAGCGACTTCGTTTCTCTTGTGCCTCAGCGAACTTGCTCGAAGCATTACAGAATCGCGGCAGTTGCAACAGCGCCCTGAAGGCGGTGGTATATGGATGCAGAGCATTGCAGAGCGCAGAGCAGAGAATTACCTAACGTAAAATCGACTAGTCCAAGCTTAGAAAAAAACGGAAAAAAGTTAGACCTTGTTAATAAAGCAGTCTTCTTGGGAGTGATCTTAGATAGTAAACTTCAATGATTTCCACATATATCTTCCCTGGCCGGCAGATTAAGCTCCGCTGCATGCGCAGACCGCAGAATACGTGAGCTTACGATGTTAGTACTGCTAGCCTAGTTTACTTTAGTTACTTCCATAGTATAATGTCCTACGGGATTCTCATGTGGGGTAAAGCGGCAGATATTCAAACCATATTTGTATTGCAAAAACGAGCGATTCGTTCTGTGTACCGTCTAGGCTCTCGGGTATCTCTCAGAGAAAAGTTTAAGGAGACTGGTATCATGACTGTGGCAGCACAGTACACTTACTCAAATATTTTATATGCCCTTAAAAATATACATGATTTCAATAAGAAAGAAGATATCCATAATATTAACCTTAGAGCTAAGTCCAAACTCATGGTACCACGATTTTGTTTAACCAAGGTAAACTACTCTTTTATGGGAAAATATATACGTTTTTACAATAAGATTCCGAAGCATATATTAAGCTTATCGTTTCCTAAGTTTAAAAACTATATTAAAAATATTTTGACCGAAAAATCATATTACAAAATTGCAGACAAAGATGTATGGAAAGACGACACGGCTCCAGAATCCACACAAATTTGATTCAAAGTGTATTCCATTGCATTTAAGTTTATTTGAAAACAGCAATCCCTAGAGTTTCTTGCTCGTTCTTCTCAGGGAGGTCAGCGTAGTGAACGAGCAGTAGCTTAATTGTGACGATTTCAAGTGTAAATTTATTTTACCTATGGAATAAATAATCTTTGACTTTGACTATTGAGTGTACCCGACCCGCAGACTCGACGAGTACAGGGAAGTGCAGAATGCTTGAAATAGCGTTGTTTTAATTGCGGGCCTGAATGTTCGCCCGGACTCCCAACGCTTTCTTAATAGAAACAACTTGCAAGACCTAAACGGTCACTACCATGTATATTTGTCATCCAAGTACACAGTTTTTTTTGTAGTCTAGGTACACATTTAGCATTATAATCATTTTCAGGTCTAGTATTGGTATGTGTCACGCGGGCTTCAGTCGTTCCCTCACCGCCGTCCGCATAACTTGTGCAATCAAAAATGTAATTAATTGGAGTCAAAATTATATGGTTTTCACATGGAACATCAGTGTTTTATTTTCGCCATAAAGAAGACTATTTCATACACCCTAATGTAGTGTGTCATTCAGCTTCGAGTCACAAGCTGTGATGTCTTCGGTTTTTTTATGACACCAATTGACAGGACCAACAAAACAAGTCGCGCCTGGTGGCAAGCGGCACGCCTGTCCAAAACAGTTACAGGGCAAATCAGAGCTTTGGCACTGCCACTGCGCCCGTCACCCTGAGACATAAGTCGACAAGTCCCATGTGCCTGTAATTTCACCAGCACCCTCATCCTTCAAAACCGGAAATTAGTAAATGCTCGCATTTTGTCGACTTTAAATCTTTTAAAATGTCGTATTCTGTGATGTAAATAATACTTTGAAACATTATTTCGACCTATTCCCAAAAAAAATTGTGTTGGGTCAGTTTCGTTCTAAAGATATAGAGGTTAGCACTTACCGGAATCATCGTTTGCAGGCGTGCTTTCTACGGTCTAAAAAGGTTCCGCCCGATTTTTTCGTCGTAAGAGGAGTCACGGATACAGCATAAGCGCGACGAGAAGCTGTTATTCACGGGGTCCTCAACATCTTGAATTGCATTGAAAAAAGTACCGTAAGAACATTGGTGGCACAAACAATAGTATATAAAGTCATTCAATTCATTCATCAAGTTCATTCATCATTCAAAGTCTGGGTTTTGGTTCAGTGACAAGCTTGCCCATGATTTACAATATAACATGTGACATAAGAACAATGTACCTCATGCTTTGTAATTTGCCGGGTTTGCCAAATAAATAAGTCTTAGTAATTTTATTTTAGATTATTAGAGATGATTAGATTAGGTAAAGTAGGTATCAGAGTTATGTAGAAGTTATTTGCTCAACAGTCTTTGCTATTATTAATGGCTATTTGCTATTTAATAATTTTCTATACCAGGAATATGTTACTTAGAATAGGGCCGCATGTCGTCATTAGCTTATTCTATCCGATTTAGTAGCAGAAGAGCTCCTTGTGAAAGAGTATCTGTCGCTAAGCAGTAATGTGTGTATTACTGTGTTCCAGTATTGAAGCATAAGGGTGATGGGTGAAGTTACAGGCACATGGGATTTTCAACTTATGTCTCAGGGTGATTGGGCGCAGAGGCCGTGCCCCACTGATCTTTGCGCAAGCGTGCTGTTTACCATCAGGCATACAACTTGTTCTTCAATCACTTGGTATCATAAAATACAAAACAACAAATTGATTGAAGGTATTGACCAAACATTGAAGAGTCATGGATTGATAATAGTAATCACCTTTAAAATACTTATAGGTAAATGTAAATGTAAAAAAAATATTACCAATAGTGACTCATTAAGTTTTGTTGGAGATCCGTAATTGTTTATTCTTCTGCTCTCTTTTATTTGCTGTCCAACAAGTCCACCAGTGGAATGTTCTTCATTTCAGCTTCTTTCTGTAATGCCATTGGTGGTTCTTTATTAATTTATTATCACACAAAATTTAAATTAAAAAAATATTTAAAATGCTGTACAGACAAAATATGAAATGCAATTAATAAAATAAAGAAGTGAAATAGGTCTCAGACACAGAAATTAAGGACTATGGAGTAAATAGTCACCCTGATGTGGTAACACGAGAATTAAAATGCAGTCTAAATAACACAACACACAAGATATTACAATATTTACCAAACTATATGTATACACTCCCAGATATACAATTCATGTTCAGTATTAAATGCCTGTAATAAATGCAGTATCAAAAACTTTCAAAACTTTTGATACTGCATTTATTAAAATTGTCTAATAATTTTGAAACTGATTTTACTAAACATCATTTCCATAAGTCCTTCTTGAAAATTTGAATTTTGTAAAATCAGTGAAAACTGTTTGTTTAATGACAACAAGATTTTTGTTATTGCAGCCCTTTAACTCTTACTCTGCGGAAGTTAATTGGCCGTCCATAAGAATCGGAAATAGGTCTATCTCGGATCCGTGGTAACTGCAAATTAAGAGTCAAGAATAAAAATGCTAGGTGGCTTGGATTATATTTCCAGGAGTGTAATTAGCACGATATCTATAAAATTTCATATACAGTTCTCAAAATTATTAGCAGTTGAGCTCGTGAAAGAGTATCCAGTGAAGTACTGACACTATACTCAGCATTACAGCATTCCGGTTTTGAGGGGTAGGGTTTTTTTACGATACCAACTCATGGGACGAACAAGTTGCGTGCTTGGTGGTATGCGACATGCCTGTCCACAACATTTACAGTGCTGCTCAGAGCTTCAAATCATAAAGTTGTGAGGGGCACTGACACAACGACCTAAAACCCTTATCCTTCAAGTAATGCTTACATTACAAAGAAATGGATAAGGTGGCAGTACTTCTTGGACAAACAAATAATAGGACTCTACAAGATTTGTGGGACATTGCAACTTTTAAGTCACAGAGAGTGTCACTTATCACCACATCATAAAAAAAAATTAGAGACATTGTAAACCCCCGCGCATATCGCAAACGAAAGCTCTGGGAACATATTCATTGGCTACTAGATGCTGCTGAGGATACGTACTAGTGATCGTGGGAATCTTCAACGAGCGCTGCGACAGGGAAGGTTTGCTCGGGCATGCTGTGGTTTGTCGCCGCTGACGCTTCCACCTACAATAAAACGAACAAGAAATACCTTATAAAAACATAACGTAGTGTAGTTAATAACTTAGCAAAGTCAATTTCCTACTTCTACTTACCAGGCTAGCTGCATGTTACTGTACTTCATTTAGCACAGTAAATGTGAAAAACAAAACTTCACATTCACTATAAGCACCTGTAGACATTGAATGAATGTGTGTTTATGGTGTCGATTTTCACATTTGCCTAAGAATGCTTGAGAACCTAAACATATAGCAGGTGAAGATGCATTAGCTCTGCCACAGGAAGGAATTATCTTACGAGCATCACAGGCAACACAAACTTACTAGGGATGCTAACGCAACACAGACCACTTTTTACGAGAATTGAAAACAAAACTCGCGGTAGGTTGACAATTAGCATAGACATAAACTTTTTTTTCTATTTTCCCTTCGTTCCGTTCGGAATAGGCGAAGGTCAGAGACCATACTGCCTAGTCATTACTTTCTCTTTTTCTTCAGTAAATATATTTCGATTTGTATGTATGGATTTATGTCTTCTGTTTGTTTAATAGAAATTTTTTTGTTTTTATTTTCCATTCATATACTGGAAAAGGCAAAGGTACATATGCGCCATAGAGCCTAGAATGAAGTAATGAATCAAAGTAATTATTTATGTTTCGCGGTTAGCGTTTCAGCCACTTAAAAAGTTTTTGATTTCTTTTAGAACGGGCCAAGAAGCTTAAATGTTTAAGTTTCTTGGAACGGGCTAATTTATGTTTGGTTTTGAACTTTTCGGTTGTTCCAAAATTTTACATTTTTTATATTATTTTTACGTTTTATTGCTGTTTTTGATAGCCACGGTAAAAAAAGAAAAACTCATCCAAAGGAAAACAAGTATCAGAAAGGCCTTGGAAAATTAGGAGAGTACGGGACTACTTTTGTCTTAAATTACTTTGCACTTTTTTAAATGCTTCATATATGTATAATAATAATGTTTTGAATTGATTAAAATAAACAACAACTGTGAGGGATTTTTGTCCTAGCAATTAGTTACGTCTCCTACTGCTCTCTATAAGAATATTTTAGTTCCTTGCACTAGCGTATGAACTTCACAAACATTAAAATAATTACTAAATGGCCATAAACGTAATAATGTTATTCTATTTGGCGGTAAGTATTTTGAGCTGAGAGCAGTGCTTCTAATGTCTGTTGTCACGAGGGAGTTCTAAATAAAAGAACTACCATTGTTAACAAATTTATTTAGGCGCGGTTCGTTTACAGCCCAACGATTACACACTGCACTTTTGCCTTCCTAGGACCAGCAGCTGGTACTCCCCTGGTTGTTTCGCCGAAGTGACGTCCGGGGTTGGATGAACCGAAACAGGACCGGATTCGTCCGCCCAAATGTAGTCCGGGGTGCAAGTTGACAGCCGTCCGCCGAATAGACGTCCGGGGTCGATCTCACCGGCCCAGGCCAACCGACGCGGAGAATGGTAAAAAAAGTACCGGGAACCTCGGACCCTGGAATACCCATTGGTCCAGTTAGCAATTGTCCACGATTTGCTCACATGACAGTGACAATGGCAGTGAACACAGAAGTGGGAAAAGCACCTTACTATGTACGCAGTGTTGCGTGATTCTCACAATCAGCACGGTTGACAAATGGAACTCCCTTCCGGCACATGTCTTCCCTCCC